TAGTTTTATGCAACATCATTTTAGACTCTAATATATAATATTTTATAGTTAACTTTAAAATATTAAATATTTACTCTAATAAAAAGATGGTATAATTTAGATAGGTATTTTTTTCAAGTAAATCCAACACTAACATATAATAACTTTGTGATTATATTACTAAAGAAGGATTTAATTAATTTAAGAGAATATTATCAGGTTAGGTTGACGTTATGCATAACTAAGCTATAATAAATGAAATGAAAATAATATTTATTGAATTTTCCCATGCATCAACATTCCACAGTACAATGATACTTAAGTTCCAGACCCATCCATCATGGTCAGACTTCAATTGAGATTAGGTAGCTTTTTGATAAACAAACATAAATATAAAGGGATAAAGGTTGATTAGTATTGTAATTAATAATATATTAGTAAGTAAGACAGTTTAATTAAGGATGAAATGGGATGGGTTATAGTAATTTTATTATCAAAACGTGCAGAAAAAATGGAGCCGGATACCCCAGCAACACGCCCCCGGAGATTCTTCTCCAAGGTAAGTCCACATTCAAGAATTATTTCAAAGCCAAATCAGATTTCGTGAAAACAACCATACCAGAAACAGCATTGGAAGCACCATGGAAAAGACTTATAGACAGTCCATCGATGACATGGAACCCGTACGGAGGGATGATGGCGAGGATATCGGAATCCGAAACACCGTTCCCGCACCGGAAAGGCAACAAATTCATGATCCAGCACTTGACACTATGGCAAGACGGGGATGATAAGAATGCAGGGAAGCACGTGGACTGGATTCGAAGGATGTATAATTGCATGGCGCCTTATGTTTCAATGTTCCCCAGGACTGCATATGTGAATTACAGGGACCTCGATCTGGGGACCAACAAGAATGCAAGCACAAGTTTCATTGAAGCCAGTGGTTGGGGTGTGAGGTACTTTAAGGACAATTTCAACAAATTGGTGAAGGTGAAGACCAAAGTTGACCCTGATAATTTCTTCAGGCATGAACAGAGTATTCCACCACTTCCAGTTGAAGCTCGATGCTTAAACGAAACTCAAAAGAAATCTGTTCTTTTTTAAGAAGGAAGGAAAACATTGAAACAACATGAACTAGGAAAGCAATCATAAAAGCAGCTCGTTAAATAAGACAGGAAACTGGATACGGAAAAGAAGCTCTTGAAGGAGAAGACCATCAAAAAGCTAATGCTTGTGTGTGAGGACGAGATGATAGAATAGCGCCTCTGCCTTATACCTAGGGGTGTAAATCAACAGAGGGTTTAGTGAATTGGTCGTAAACCGTTTGTATAACGTCCTTTATGTTCATTTGAAGTTAAATAAACGAACATGAACAAAAAAAATTATGTTCATTTAATAAACGAACGAACACGAATAGAGGTGTGGTCGGTTCGTTTAAGTTCGCAAACAAGTTCATTTATGAGCTCGTTTGTAAGCTTGTTTATGAGTTCATTTATCAACTCGTTCATTTATGTTCATGAACAAACTCGTTTACCCGATTCTCATTTTCCTTTTGTTTTTTTATATTTAAATAGTGGTAAAGATAATGATTAAATAGAACACATGATAAAAGTTACGTTTTAAACTATGAATTTTAAGGAGTTTAAACACCAGTAGCATAGTTTTATCATTTTTCTTTAGCTTGCAAATGAAATTAAAAGTTGGATATATAAATGAACGATAAACAAACACTAAAACAACGCTAAGTGAACACTAAATGAACATGTTCGTGAACACGTTCGTGAACATATAAACGAACATGCTCGTGAACATTAAACGAACGCTAAACAAACATGTTCGCGAACATTAAATGAACATGTTCGTGAATAATAAATAAACGAACACGAACACAATTTTATTCATTCAAACTCGATTCATTTACACCTCTACTTATACCTTAAATGTTAACATCTAAGCTCAAACCAAATTTTTAACCAACTCCAATTTTACACCTAATTTCATATAATTAATTTATGGTTGTGATTTATTTATCATGTTTGTTAACGTAGTAAATGTTATTGTGATCATTGTCTGTCATCAGCTTTATTTAAAAGAGTTAATATTTGGGAAAAAAAATAAGTGTTATCTATTCGTTTATGAAGAAAAAAATAACATATGCATGGAAGAAAGAGTCGCTTCAAAATTTGTAGTCTAACAATATTTTAGGTCACCATTAACTTAAGTTTAAGTAAAATTAGATTTTTATTTCTTCAATTTTTTAAAAATAAATATTTAATAAGTTCTTATTATTTTAAATTTTGATAAGTTGCTTCTCTCAATATTTGAACATAACTCTATTCATGAAATATATGGATCACTTAAATGTGATTTATTTTAATTAAAAAACACATAAACAAGCGTAAAGGAGAAAATAGATTAGTATTATTTTGAATATTGGATTAATAATAAGTGAAAATTTAATTAAGGATATGATTGTATGGGAAGGGAAAGGAATGGGTATATAATAATTTTATAAAAATGTGCACATAAAAAGTAGGGTTGAATGTGACAAATGAAAGACTTTAAAAGCAAAAGCCACTAATAATGTCCCGTCCCTCATTATCTAATATATAAATAATATTTTTATTAAATAAAAATAATATTGAGATGGTCTTATTCTTTAAGATTTGATCTAATTAATTTTAAGATTATTTATTGAAGAAATGCTAAATATAAAAGTTTTTAAACAAAAATTTTTAATATTATCCTCTAATTAAGCTCGTGTCATAAAGTTTATAATTTTCCAGTTATATTATAAAAATTATCATTTTACTCGACTTTTTAACATACATGAACTTTTTTTGTTCTTTTTGAGAATATATGGATCAAAAATACAATTCATGTTTAGTGCAAAGTCATGTCCAGTAATTTTTCATTTTTTCATGATTCATGGATTCCCTGCATGGCTATATACCAGCTTAGGCGTTGGTGGGCACATCACAGGTGGTGCATATGGTACCGTGATGAGAAAATATGGCCTCGGTACTGATAATGTCGTCGATGCTAACGGACGAGTCCTCGACCGTGCAGCCATGGGAGAAGATCATTTTTGGGCTATCCGAGAAGGTGGAGCTGCAAGCTTTGGCATTATCCTTCAATGGAAGATACAACTTGTTCCGGTCCCGGCTACCGTGACAGTCTTCGCTGTCACAAAGCCCCTACAACAAAATGCTACCAAGATCCTCCATCGGTGGCCACAAGTCGCTGACAAACTCGACGAGGATCTTTTCATTAGGGTCATCATTCAAACAGCGACAAACAATGGTATGAAAACAGTGACAACATCGTACAATTCTCTATTCCCAGGTGATGCTGGTAGGCTCCTACAGATCATGAAACAAAGCTTCCCGGAATTGGGACTAACTCAAAAAGACTGTATCGAAACCAGCTGGATCAAATCAGTGCTTTACGTTGCTGGATACTCGAGCAACACCCGCCGGAGATTCTTCTCCAGGGTAAGTCCACATCTAAGGCCTATTTTAAAGCCAATCGGATTTCGTGAAAACAACTATACCAGAAACAGCATTGGAAGGGCTATGGAAAAGAGTAATGGAGGAAATCATCCCACTGATGATATGGAACCCGTACGGAGGAATGATGGAGAGGATATCCGAATCTGAAATCCCGTTCCCGCACCGGAAAGGCAACAAATTCACGATACAGCACTTGACTGCATGGCTAGACGGGAATGATAAAATTGCAAGCAAGCACATCGATTTGATTCGTAGGAGGTATCTTTATCTGGCACCTTATGTCTCAATGTTCCCCAGGACTGCATATGTGAATTACAGGGACCTTGATTTGGGGATCAACAAGAATGTGAGCACAAGTTTCATTGAAGCCAGTGGTTGGGGGTGAGATACTTTAGGGATAATTTCAACAGGTTGGTGAAGGTGAAGACCAAAGTCGACCCACATAATTTCTTCAGGCATGAACAGAGTACTCCGCCACTTCCGGTTGAACCTAGATGCTTATGAAGGAATAACATATCATTGTTGTTTCAGTTAATACAATGTTCTTTTAACATTTGTGTGTTGTAGCTTGTAAGAAAGACATGAACGGTGAATGATGATTCTGTTCTTTCTTCTTGTTATTTTCTATGATATTTTCTATGAAAGTTATGTTCTCACGACGAGGAGCAAGATCATAATTAAAGGTTCAAAACGTTGAATTATTCGTGATCAGTTGATATAGTATTTTTCTTTTTAAATTTTAAATAAAAAAATTTATATTCATTTAATAAATAAACAAACATGAATAAAGTTATTCGTTTATGTTCACGAAAAAATTCAATTGAAAACTCATATCAACTCATTTATAAACTTGTTTACTCAATTTCCTTTTTACTTCGTCTTTTTACATTTTAAATATTAGTGACAATATGGATTAAATTGAACACAAGATGAACTTTAATTCAAACCATGAAGTCTAAGGAACTTAAGAACTAATTGCCTAATTTTACTATTTTTCTTTGGTTTACAAATAAACAAATAAAAAAAAAGTGTGCAACAAACATGGCAAAACTAAATGAATATATCTATGAACCCTAAATCAACCGAACATAAAAACATTCAAAAATAAATAAAGGGACACAAATATGATATTAAAAATTTAAACGAACATGAACCAAAATATACACTTCTAAAACTAAACAATCGAACACGAGCACGATATTAAAAATTTAAACAAACACAAACCAATCATGAATACATTTAAAATAAAACAAACAGTTTTTACTGTTAAAGCCCAATTCATTTACACCCCTGATCATTGTAGAACAACCGAGGGAAGAAATTGAAATGAGGAAATCATAACGAACAAAAAAGGTGTCCAAGTTGATTTTTGACAATTTCTTTGAACAAATCAAAATGAAAAACTTGGAATGTACAGGCAGAGGCAGAACATGAAACCGAAACAAAAAGGGTTCCACGTCCCAAAAAATGTATTGGTCGTGAGAAACTATTGATTTCTGCAAAAAGAAATTATACATTTTTACCAAAAATGTGTCCCCGATTTCAAAACTATTGCAGCTTGCTCCATATCAAACTTTCCATGATGCAACTATTTCAGTCAATAGACTTGAAAAGCCTAATCGATGTTGCTCGCTGTTCTTCTGTCAAGAAAGGCAACCACTTTCTTAAAACATCTGCAAGAACAAACTGACCTGACATGACTGCAAGCTCAACATTCTCAAAGTCGATGGGTACAAGTCCAAGCAAAGCAGTAACGGTCGCGAGCTGGATGGGAAGACCGGCTCTAATAGTAGTCTCCCGCAACAGAAAAGCATGCAGCTTTGCTCTCAAGTTTTCAACCTCTTTATCTTCATATCCAACAGTATCAACTCCGATCCTTAACAGACATCAATTGAATGTGTAAGTTATATGGAAATTCTATACGTAATACGAATTTTCTCAGCTTAAAAACAGACATGCTCCACCTTCACAAGGGAAAAGAACTAATGGCACATGCTTTTATATACTATTTTCCAATGTTCCTTTCTTACCTGTGGCAATTGTCTCAAACTTTTAAAATTCCAATTATCTACCTAAAAGCTAAATTCAAGTAATTCCATTTTCCTACATCCCAGTTTCAACCAACAAACAAATAGGCCTGAAAGCAGGAAAAATATATAAACTCAAAATTTAATGCAAGAATACCTTCCAAGTTGACCAAGAAGAATAATGCCGGCAACGGTGATGTTCTCATGAGCAGATGACTCCAACATACTCCACAGCTGGCCAATGATTTTATTGCATATCCAGTTCCAGCTCTGTTTCCATCAAAACATGAAAAGTCAGGTTAAAAATCTCAAGTACGAGCTCTTATTTAAAAAGTACTTTAAAATCTTCTAAGAATTGTTTATTTCAAAATTTTTGTTCAGCCAGGGGAATTCATAACCAAACATTTCCATTTTGCTAATTTTCGTTTCCACATTTTATATAATGGAGAAAAAGGTTAAAAATAGTTTTACTAAAAGCTGCTTAAAGAGTCAAAAACAAACATAAAGAGAGTAAGCAAATACCATATTACATGCAAGCAGCTCCATCAATGATAAGACATCAATAATGTCGCACACAGTTCCAGTGACAACTGATCCTAACTGTTCACTAGCCAAACTGCACTTATCTAAACAACAGTATACATCCATATCCTCAATGGACACGGAACTTGAATTTGCTGTCAGATTTTGATGCATGATTCCCGACTGGGCATAATTCTGAAACTTTGTAAAGAGTAATAAGACAACATTATCTACAGAAAGGGCATCCTTAGAAAATGGGCAGCCAACACGTTCATGGAACTGAGACAGAACATCACCCACCAGCGAATGAGTCCTTACAGCCACCAGTGCACATTCACTTTCAAGGAACACAACGATCGATTTCAATACAGTCATTGTTGAACTATAATCTCTTAAGGTAAACATCTTATCGCCACCCACATAGGCAAACACATGAAGAACAACCAGTACCACCGAGGTACCATATCTGTGCATCCGGAAAATGTTATATGCAGCTTCACACAGAAAGCCAGCACGGCCAGCAGCTGCACAAATCGAACCCAATATAATGCTACTGGCCACCAACAGATCAGCTGAAGCAGCTTCATGTGTAAATACTACATCTGAACCATTAATAAAGACATGTCTTCTTGAATCACATTCAACAGAAGTCTGTGAAGACAGAGCAGCAAACAACATAACTCGCCCCTCTATAAGAAAATCTTGAATTAAACTAAGCAATTCATCCAAACATTCAGCCACTACACTTCTTGCCTCGGCATCAGACATCACTGTGCCAAAAGAACATTTAAATAAAGACTAAGCCGAAACAACCAAATAAGAAATTATAAGAACCAACATTAGATACAATAAATCCATCAAAAATCTAGACACAGATAAAAGTTTTGAAGGTACCTTCATTTATGTGTTCAGCAAACAACTTTAAACAGAGTATGAAATCCCCAAGCATAGAGCAGTTCTTGGATGTAGCTGTACAGAAGTTGAGAAGAACCAATGAAAAAAATACACAAACCTTCTCCCTGCAACCAATAAAAAAGAGCCATGAGACTCGGCATCTTCTCATCCATTAATTTAACAGTTCAGGGAATCTAAGCAGGCATCAGAATAAACTAAGCAAAAGGTAAAGAACTCATAGACAGTCTTCAACAGCAGACATTATAGCATATCTTACGACAATAAAGAACTTACTTCGGTAAAAGCTGTTTTTCCAGTTTAAGAGCATGTGAAACTCTATGCATGACAAACTCTGTCTGAGCAGGCAAAGAGCACTGAACCATACAAGTTTTAGTGGCACAACAAATTCTAGAGACACTGCTATCATCCTTGATGTTAGAGAACATAACACAGAATTTCGGAATACTTTCGTTGGTGGATCCAATGCCACTTCCAGTTCCAGATGGAATGTTCACCACTCCATGCACAGAACTAGGAGCAACTAACATCTCCACACCCACTCGAGAGTTATGGGAGTGGTTTAATAAGGCTCTTTCTGCTGGCAAAGTACTGCAAAAATCATTTTCATTACACTTTAGAATGTCAAAGGAACCAAAAGAGTCATTCTCATGTTGCACTTGAGGTGAAGTGTCCACCCTATTATAGCAACTGATTGGAACTGTTCACATTCATAACATCAAACTTGTCAGAAGATGCAAGATTTTCATTTTCATGAGGGAATCTTTCAGAAATCGCATCCTGTAATGGTCTAAATTCATCCACCTCAGCTGATTTGATACAGGGAGATTCCACTTCAGGAAGTGTAGGGGATACAGGCCTTTCAACTGCCATCCTAAAGCATTCCTCCTCTGCAGCATCATCCAAATCCAGTAATTTCATATAGTTTTTTCTTACTACCTCCTCAAAACCAACAATAGTTTTAGGGTCAATTGTATCAGGGTTGCAATAATGATAAGTGCAAACTTGCATCTGCTTCATCTGCAGGCCATCACAAGATTTTGCCATATCTAGTGTCTTTTCATCAGATGTTTTCCTCCTCTTATGAGATCTATCATGTGCAGAATATTGCAAAACAGAAAGTTTGTCCCTAAGCTGTAGATGCAACTTCTTCCTCTCACGGCATAAAGTTTCAATACATTCCACAGTATCAAGTATCATATTTCTTTTCCTAACACAGCCCTTAGCTCTTCCGAGAGGAGGACTTTTGACACTCTTTTCAGCAACCACAGCAGGATTTTCATTACACTTTTTTTTGTAACTTCACCAGACGTACTTTTAATAGTTGGTTGTAAATTTAAGTTCTCTTCAGCCAGTGTTGCCGACGTGGTAACAGAAGGAAAACCCCTTTCCTGTGAGACCACCAACTGTCTATCAGAAAAAGATGCTGTACAGGAATTTATCCCAGAACTCTCTAACATTCTTTTATTAGAGCCTCCAACTAGTGGCTCCAAATTAGAATTAATACCTGTGATAGATTCACAACAGTTCCCTCCCTGTATGGGAAGCAAACACTCATCATGTTGAATTGTTTCCCCAAGACGATTGGAAGCAGTTGTATCCATGTACCTAGTCTTCAGAAGTTGATTTTCAGCTTGAAGACATGTTTGACATGATGTTAAGCCGTGCAAATTATTTTTCAACTTTGTCCATTGCATATTTGCAGAGTCTCCAGCCTGCAAAGTATATCAAACAATCCCATTTACAACCATGCTCAGAATCACAGGCAGAAATTGAAGAAAATAAAAATGCAGAATGCCATAATACTACATTAAAATTGCAAATTGGCCTAAAAAAAAGAAAAGTAAGATGAGATAAAATCATATTTAAATTCTTTTGTTAAAATTATAGAAAGGTACAGATTATGCAAAATCATAGGATATACGTGTAATTAAAAAAAGGAAAAGGAAAACTTCTAAAGGATGCAATCTCTCTCTCCCACCCCACAACCCCATCCCTCTTTCTCCCATCTTTTCTTTGGGAATGTTCTATTTTCCTTTTTTTAGTTTTCCCCAAGCTGGAGAAGTTAATTGCTAAGAGCTTATTAGTATTCCAGTGAATCATAAATAAAATCAGTGATGTTAATATACATTACAACTTCTCACAAATTGAAGTAGCATAGAAAGTAGACCAACACTCTACCCACCAATTCAATAATACTAAAGAATCATCAGGTAACCTTTAGAGTTCAGTCTGAGAAAAATCAACAAGTAGAAATGTATAGTGTATCAAACGCCAAAACCTGTATGCTATTTTTTTTTAAATGAATTATGACACTACAATTATCAATCAGGAAAATGATTGAATTTTGTGGGAAAAAGGATCTAAAATGGAAGAAAAAGGGACACCAGATATATGAATAGTAATTGAGAAACTAACCTTTTCCATGTCATATATATCTTCAGCTGGAACTAAGAAACAATTATCCAATGCATCCAAACGGTACAAAAGTTTAATTAACTCGAGCTTCATGCAACCTAATTCTTGTTGCAAAAGACTACTATGACTTCTTTCCAACCTAGCGACATCTTTTGCATGCTTTACTCTTTCCTTCTCAAACTTCAGTTGTTTTTTCAAAAGCTTTACTTCTGCTACTTCAGCACTAATTCCATTGTTAGATGAAACAACCAATGCACCATCCACTTTTCTATTGGATGAAAGTTTATATATCTGCTTCTGCAATTCATTAATTTTCAGGTTAGCATCTTCTAACAGCTTTGATAAATGATCACCACAGTGTTCTCCTTTCATAGTCTTCTTTGTATTCTCTTCCACAAACTTTCTTTTCTTTTCTGCTTTCCTCCTCTTTGAATCTGCTTGTTTTCTCTCACTGGTAGACTTCTCTTTCTCAATATCATCCAACTGCAGATACCCAGAAACTATCCTGAACTTCTCAACATCTTCCTTCAGCACGTTGAATTGTGCTGTCTTTTCAGTTTTTGCAGTGATTGTATTTCGATCAGGTTGGTCAAAAGGACTGCCCCCCATATTCCTCGAGCCAGAAAGTTCATGTAACTGCTTGTGTAGTTCTTTATTCCTTCTTCTGGCCTTATCTAGCTGTTTGGTCAAATTGTTATTGTCCAGATTCTCTTCGACAGCTTTCTTCTTAGTTGCTTCCACAACCTTCCTTCGTTCATCTACTTTGGCCTCTTCAACAGCTTTCTTAGTTTCTTCTGCAATCCTCTTTTGCTCCTCTGCCTTAGCCATTGCAAGCTCAGCTTGTTTTCTTACTTCAACAGCCTTCTTCATGTTTTCTTCAGCAATCTTAGTTTGCTCCGCTGCTTCAGCCATCTCTAAATCAGCATGTTTTCTTTCTTCAACGGCCTTCTTCTTAGTTTCTTTAGCAACCCTCCTCTGCTTCTCTGCTTTAGCCATCTCTGAATCGGCACATTTCCTTTCATCAACAGCCTTTTTCTTAGTTTCTTCTGCAATCTTCCTTTGCTCCTCTGCCTTAGCCATCTCAAACTCAGCTTGTTTTCTTACTTCAAAAGCATTTTTCATGTTTTCTTCAGCAATCTTCCTTTGTTCTGCTGCTTCAGCCATCTCTAAATCAGCACGTTTTCCTTCTTCAGCAGCCTTCTTCTTAGTTTCTTTAGCAACCTTCCTCTGCTTCTCCGCTTTAGCCATCTCCGAATCAACACATTTTCTATCGTCAACAGCCTGTTTCTTAGTTTTTTCTGCAATCTTCCTCAACTCCCTTGCTTTAGCCATTTCTAAATCGACAAGTTTTCTTTCTTCACCTGCCTTTTTTTTCTCTTCTTCTAGCTGCTTAGTTTCCTCATCCAGCTTTGACTTCTCTGAAGCCAACTTGGATTTTGCTTCACTAACCTCTTTCATTGGTGCCTCCAATTGCTTTAGCCCATGTTCTTCACCAGCCTTACCTTTCTCAGTTGTAGCATGCGCTGATGCATCAGTAGCTTTTTTCTTCTCCATATCAGCCCTCTTCTTCTCTTTCTCAACAAGCTCCTTGAGCCAACTTATTTCCTTATCCCTGTCAGAAAGACAAGCTTTAAGAAGCTTTATTTCTTCAATTTTATCGTCAGCGTCCGAAAGTCCTTTTGCTTTAAATTGGATATCTCAGACTTCAGGACAAATATTTCATTTTCTAATGAAACTCTTAAAGCCGATTCTTTTTCTCTGCCCTCTTTTTCTACCTTAGTCCGTGCCTGCTCTTCTTCATATGCTGAAAGTGTAACGCTACGAATTAGAACAAATATTGCAGGACAATTCAAATTGATCATCTAACCTCTTGTTCTAAAAACCAACATAAAGGACTACCCTAAATGTATGACCGGACACCCTTCAGCCAACATATGTTTCAGCTAAATCCTTCAGTTTTCATATAGTAAAATGCTATCACTTATCCCATATAAAGTTAAAATCCTAAAAAAAAAACACACACATACACACACAAAGAAATTAACAAAAGGGAAGTTACATATAGTCGCATTATTTATACCTTGCTTCAGAGCCAAATTCTGGGCTTGAATATTATCACATCCTTTTTCCAGTATACGAACTGCTTGCTTTAGACAAACTCGCCCCCTTTCTGCCTTTGAATATTTATTTTTCCACTGAAAAAAGAAAAGAATAATTTAAGGGGGGATATGGAAACATTTTAAAATGTGATTCTCTAATTTGAAATCATACCACTTGACAGCAGGCTGAGACTCGGACATCCTCCACTGGCGCGTCCGCAACACTCGACTCGGGGGTGCCAGGAACATCCTCCGCCATTGCTGCCAAAGCATCCAGAAACTTCAGATTAGCAAAATAGTCGAAACTAATCAGACTTCGACAAATAAAAAGAAATCATCTATACCTTCTGGATTGATATTTTTTTTTTCTTGTTGCAGTAAATTCTCATGAAACAAACATCGAAAGAGAATGAAATTATCTACAGAAAGAGGAAAGAGCAATACGTGCTTGTTTTAAAAATTTTAAAATCAGGGAATGGTCCCTTTAAGCCGAATTTAAAAGAAAAACCCTAAACCTCGATTATGGAGGGGAAAGAGTTGCAGATGCAGTGAGCAGTGGGCAGTGGCGGCCTACCGTATAGCGAATTTCGGGAAAGAAACTGAATTTCTATTTACTAATAATCATTTTTATGGATCCAGCCCAATAATGTTTGGTTAGTACACTAGATGATGCTATTAGACTATGCTCATATGATTCTTCTGGTCTCTTAACTTTAAAAATTTATAAAATGGTCATTAACTTTATCAAACTGTTATAAAATAATTATGATCTGTACTTAAAAATTCTCAAACTAAATGTCAAATCTCTACATTCATAAGTATCATTACTATCATCATCACTGTTAATCTAAGCATCCACATAAACAACAATTGCCATGTAGGCTATCTGCTCATAATAATAGGGTAGGGCTTATGGGAGAAACCCCACATGTTAGGATATGGCAATGACATAAAATTAGTAAGCTGTTTTTTATATAACCATCTGACATTAAATTAGTAAGTTGTTTTTTTTATATAACCATATGAAGTCAATTCATTAGTTAATTAATCCAGATAATATTACAAAATTTTCATAAAACAATTATTTTAATTTAAATTGATATATTTGGAACATAAAAATTCGAATTCATGACATTACTTGAAGGACCTCACACCTCATCGTGCTAGACCAACTAATAGTTGTATTACATCCGATCATAGAAATATTAAAAGAACACTATATAACGGTTGATACACATAATGTGTTTCGAGTCTAAATTGGTACCAAATAACTTAAATCTAAACCGGTACCCTCACCAATACACTGCTCACTACCTTGATGAGAAGCTCTTGTCCAACGAAATGCCAATTTTGTTGTCTTCAACCATAATAAAGTCTATGAAGCAACACATTACACCTAACATGATTGATGGCCATGCCTACCCTTTATCTTTTTCAAATTGGTCATCAATCACCATGGAAGCGACCACTTTAAAAGTTCATACCTAAACAGCCTACACTCCACATAGGATTTATGAACTTTTTCAAACGACAAAACAAAAACACATGATCTTTTTACCTAATTTTCTCATGGAGCATATTCTTTCACCATCAAAATCTCCCCACATAACTTCTGTGGCACTTGGTCAAATTTTTACCTTCCTGCCATGCCTGCCCTACCAAAACACCAGGTCCTATATGCCGAATGTATATCACAACCTCATCATTGAATGGATACGGATGTTTCACTGCAAAACAATAATCATATTACTAATATTTTTTGTTAAAAATAGTATCACTAGTAGTACAAATTTAACACTCTAATCGACCTGATAATTAGCAATAATTAATAATCTTCACCTGGTTTAGGAAAGTGATTTGGATATTCATCGAGATCCAAGAGACCATCCCCGAATTCGTAGGCCAAATCACAGGGCTGTTCAGTTGACATTACTTCTTTTGTTTGAGTCACCTCAAAATACAACGGGCATAGCTGATTTGCAAAATGACCCACAATTGATCCACCTAAGAAACAATATCGTTTTTATTAAATCAGTAATTTCTCCACAGGCTTAACTCGGCCACATTTGAACAAACACACAAGTATATACAGAAGAGAGAGAGAGAGAGAGAGAGGGAGTAAAGTTTTATAGTACATGAATTATTACGTGAAATGCCTGAATCCAAATTTAGAGATGCATCACCAGAAATTTTGTTCATCAATAGTAGAAATTGTAGATTAAACGAACCAATAAGCACATTATTTAAAGAATAAAAAGCGCATGGAGCACATTTGAGTATACAAGAGCAGCAAAACTAAAATTTCTTCCATGTGATAGCATCATAGATCAAGAAATCTATTTCATTATTTCTCCTTGTTTATTTATTTAAAAAAGATCTTTCTAACCATTTAGAGATAACCCATATATAAACCTTCACTAGCTAGTAATACCCTGTCTTTATTCATTAGTCTGAGTTCACTCAGTTGCTTAGCCTTTGCAATTTCCTGTGAAACAGGGTAGAAAGCAAACAACAATTTTTATTAAGGCTCTACTTGAACGTCCCATATCTCACATTATGTCTACTTCTATTTCTATATAAATGGTCAAGTATTAACCAAAATTAGCTCAAACATAGCATTCAACATCAAAGCAGGAATCAAGAATCTAAACCAGTCTTCTTCACCTTGCATAAAATAAATCATAACAAAAACCATTGTAGTTGAGGGTGAAATTACAAATATGAAATAGCTACTATACTAGATTTAACCTTTCTAATCAACCCGAAGTGGAGGATATATGCTAGCAAAGAGGAAACACCATCTTAACAGTTCAGAGTGAGTCTTCACATACTTACCAATAAATCGTCCATATGTCTTCCCATTATTGCCACAAAATATAGTCTAAAAGAGAATCAATTAACTCTCAGATAGTTAATTCCAGAGAAAGAGTGTTAAAATATGATTAAAAAAGAATGACTAATATGGAATTTAAGAGCTTCGTCATATTAGTGTAGAACTAACCTTAAAAAAGTATTTCATCCAAGCAATAAGAAATGGACCTAGATGAGAGAAGCGTGTTATTAAATCTTTCAAAAGTAAAGTTCACAAGAAACATCATCATCTAGCATAAAACAAAAACATGTATGCAACATTAGAGGCAGCACATAACATTTAGACTCTATCTATTGAAAATTACAAAGCATCAATTTCATAAAATACAATACAACAGGTGTGTGTATGTGTGTGTACATAGGCATCTATGCATATACAATGCCCCAATGCACAGGTAAACTCAACATATATGATATTTAAAAATTCCTTTGTCACTTAGGAATTTGTATCTGTTTTCAAAACTAAAAGTATTTAAGTCATACCAATTACCAAGGTGTTGGCAATAACTCAAATGAATTACCTCCTCTGGTTCTGCAGTTAAAGACTTGAAAGGGAATTGTGGTGTCTTTATCAGATAGAATGTTGGAAGCAGTTTTGTTCACTAATTTGGAGTCATGATAGCGTGTGCCAGCTATCTCCCAAGCTATCGAAATAAGCCTGCATTGCATGCTAATATGTAAAAGTGATTCTGGGAAGCAGTTGAATTAAACTACTAGTACAGTTCTCTACTTGTTTCTATTATTCCATCTCCCGTCTAGTAATGTATTAGCTATGCAGACTTAGAAATGTGAAGTTGGAAGGGGAAGAAATAAGAAAAGTAACAAACTTATCCAAATAAATAAATAAATGAGAAAAGCAACCTGGGATTGAGTAATTGCAGCAATCGATGGCGTCTTTCCTCCGGAATGTCTCCAATTTTTTTCCTGGAAAAGAAGAGAATATGAGCTCTTATTATAGTTTACTTTAAGTACTTGTACCCGAGTCTCCTACTGAACACGGGAATTTGGATATATGAGCTACAAAGATTCTCCAAATATATGAAAAACCTTAGAAAATCGGACTATACTCGATGTCACTCGCTGTATCTTACACTCGTATGTCTAAACAAATAAAGAAACGACAAGAAAATGTAAAATGAAAGACCAGAGATAGGCAGCCGGATTATAAGAATTGGGGTCCAAAGGAATCAAATCATTGGGAGGATCAAGAAATGTGACGATATCCATTTCTTCCGAGTAAGGATCAAACGACGCCGTCTCCGAAGCTCCATTCACCCCTTCTCCAGCTCTATCCCCGGCACCAACAACGACCCCCCTTCCACTGTGTAATCTTAGACCTGAAAAAGCTCAGGAATCAAAAATTACATCACACTAAAACAATAACAATGTGTATGATTTTAGTAATATCAATAGAACAGAAACAGACCTTGAAATGATGAAAGGCGAAGAGCAGGCGGAGACGGAGACGGAGACGGAGAGGGCGAGGGCGAGGCTGGGTTTATTGAAATCAGGCCTCCGCCCCTATACTTCGAGCAAGTAGGCGTCGCAAAAGGTAAAGGAATCATACAGCAGCCACCGGCAGCCGTCATACTTATCTCAATTCCAACGCAGATAACACTAGCAGTTTTGCAGTTAAATCTCTACTTAAAATTTTCATTCCATTGCTTTTATTATCTGGGCTAATAACAGTAGACATCTCCAAGTTATAACTATGATTTTATATTAAACTCTAAACTTTAAAATATTTTAATTAAACCCTCAAAACGCTACTTAAAAAATAATTTGAATATAAGTATAATGAATTGAGCTTGAACGAATAGATTATGTTAGTGTTTGTTTGTTTTTTAAGTTGTTCATTTTTAGTTTTTATACGTTTAAATTTTTAATAACGGGTTCGTTTATTTATATTTTAGGGTGTTCGTGTTTATTAGTTTAACATTCATGAGTAAACTCATTTATATGTGCACGAACGAATGAGTCTACAGTGCACGTCGCATACTAAAACACACCACTAATGTAACACAGCGAAACTCATAACTAATTAAATTAACCGTTTTAAAAAAATTAAAAAATTCAAGAACCGTTCTAGATTAATCCACTAATTTTATAGGATAAAACTGTTAAATAGTAACTAAACTATGTTAAAATAATTATTTTAGATATTAACTTTCAAAAGTTATATAATATAAATTAAACATTAATTTTTTATAAAATAAATGCAGCAGCTTTAACTATCATTAGAATTACTTTTTTTTATAAAATAAATGCAGCAGTTTTAACTATCATTAGAGTGGTGAAGTGATATATTAAATTAATAAAATAACTTCATTAACCTTGTCAATTATAAATAAAAAATTGATAATTTTTTAATATTTTAAGTAATAATTTAAAAATATTTTTTAAAAAATTATAAAAGTTCATAATTTATTTTTAAAATTATAACTTTATGAATTTGTTGATTCATGAAATAATTTTATAAACAATTTTTTTATTTAGTTATGATTAAATTTATAAAAAAAAATTAATTTTTAATTTTTAAGATTACATAATTTTAATTATGAAAAACGATGTTAATTTTTTCTTAAGCAATGTGATTCAATTATTTAACTTTTTTTAGTAAATTTAAATATAATTTAAAAATATATTTATAATTTTAAAAATAAATTTATGAAATTCAATATATTTTGTAAATACAGTTTTTTAAACAATATTTACTTAAAATATTGAAAAATATCAAAAGAAAATTTTAGTCACAATTGAGAGATCAAAGAAGATATTTTTTTATCAATTTAAAATGTCATATCATCTTTTAATAATATTTGATGCTTATATTCTTTTTAAAAAAAATAATTTTTAATGTTTATTTTATAATTTTTAGAAAGTTGAGTGACTAAAAAGATTATTTTATCATAGTTTGGTGATCATTTATAATTTTATTATATTTTCATTTAGTCAATGGTGTGTTTTTGTGTGTCGCTCTAATGGTGTGTTTCGGTATATGACTTTCATTACAAAAAGTTTCGTGCACAAAGATATTTAGTTATATATTCATGAACATGTTCTTTACGTTCGTGAATATGTTTGTTTATATATTCATGAATATATGTTAATTTGTAAGCTAAAAATGGTAAAATTACGTCACTGGTACTTAAACACTTTAAACTTCATAGTTTGTTTAGTCGCTACATTCACCAGTATTTAAAATGTAAAAAATAGAAAGTAACGAGCTTTTAATGAGCTTATAATATCTCGTTAAATGTGTTTGTTTATTAACATAAACGAACGAGTTGATAAACGAGCTTGTCCGTGAACATAAACAAACCAAACATGCCTCTGTTCATGGTCGCTAAAGAGTAATATTTTGAGTTTGGGACAACTCCTTGAAAGATATTATGAAGTTCACATGAAAGATCATTGTCCTTGGCTAAGAGATCAATGTCAAAGAATATAATGATCTTGTTGAATCTCAAGACGATTGATGCAAAATGCTTGAAGGTTAGAGTGGAAGATGATGCATGGTGTTGGCTCATGAGATTTGGTCACTTAAATTTGGAGCCCTCAAAATGCTTGGAGAAAAGAATATGGTAAATGGAATTCCGACCATTACTCACCCTAACCAATTGTGTGAGGCTTGCCTTCTAGGCAAGCATGCAAGGACAAGTATTCCAAGAAGCAACATCAAGAGTAACCAAGTCTCTTCAACTTGTTCATACTGTTGTATGTGGACCAATCACCCCACCATCATTCGGTAAAAGTAGATACTTCCTACTCTTTATTGATGATTATAGTAGAAAGACTTGGCACTTCTTGAAGCATAAATCTGAGGCTTTTGGTTTTTTTAAAAGTTTTAAAGCTCTTGTTGAAAAGGAAAATGGGTATGTGATAAAATCCTTAAGGTAAGGCAGAGGAGGTGAATTTATTTCCAATGAATTTAATGATTTTTGCAAAGCATATGGGATTCGTCGTCCTTTGACAGTGTCCAAATCACCACAACAAAATAGAGTTGCAGAAAGGAAAATAACCATTCTTAACATAGCTAGGAGTATGATGAAGGCGAAGAACATGCCTAGAGAGTTTTGGGCCGAAGCTATTTATGTACAGTTTATTTGTCCAATCGCTCGCCAACAAAGAAAGTGAATAATGTAACTCCTTGAGAAGCTTGGAGCGGTAGAAAGCCAAGTGTGAGATATTTCTGAGTGTTTGGAAGCATTGCCTATGCAAATGTACCAGACCAAGGTAGATCTAAACTTGACGATCGAAGTTCTAAATATGTTTTTATTGGTTATGACTCAAACTCCAAAGGCTATAAGTTGTATAATCCAAGCAATGAAAGAATTCTTATTAGTCATGATGTTGAGTTTGATGAAAAAAAGAGTTGGAATTGGGACACACAAGAAGAAACCTATGATTTCTTTTCGTATTTTGAAGAAGAACAAGATGTGATTCCTCCGCAAGATGTGAACCCTCCATAGGATATGACTCCACCTTCACCTGTACCAATCTATAAAGAAACTTCTGGTGAAAGCTCGAGTTTCGGAGAAAGTTCAATGAAAGACCAAAGAAATTCATAAGTATAAGGGATCTGTATCGCTCCGCTGAAGATATTAATGACTTGTTTTGCCTAATATTAGATAGTGAGTTCCTTAATTTTGAATATGCTATGAAGGACAAGAAATAGAGATTAGCAATGGATGAAGAAATAAAATCCATTAAGAAGAAGAACACTTCAGAATTATAGGAACTTCCAAAAGGTCATAAAGCTATCGGGATCAAGTGGATTTTCAAGAAAAATAAGAATGCAAGTGGAGAAGTAATGAGATACAAAGCAAGACTTGTTGTTAAATGCTATAATAAAAAACATAGGATCGATTATGATGAAGTATTTGCACCAGTTGCTCGAATTGAAACCATTCAATTGATTATCTCCTTAGAGCTCAAAAGAAGTGGAAAATTTATTAACTTGATGTGAAATCATCATTTCTTTTTGTTTAAATGGTTACTTTGTATTCGAATTCACAAAGTACACCACCTCGAGGTTCTCATTAAAAAACCTCTCTAATCCTAAATAGAGGAAAAAAAAGTGAATTGGGATGGAAGAAGGTCCAACATGAACCCGAGAACAACAGCCGGGAACTACACCACTATAACCGCCCGAAACAGACTACATCAATGTAGCTTCACACTACCCCTAAATGAAATTCACAAAGGAAATACACACATCTGAAACAAAGAAACACCATACTACAATCTACGAAACATAAGACAATTGAGCATATGCCTATCAATGTAACTAAGCAATCTAGAGAGAATGAAAGACATCCCACTGCAAAAACTACACCCTGGAACACCACACTGCACCACTGGTTTATCCCCAACATGGGGCCGAAAAAAAACACGTCCGAAGTCAAAAGCAAAAACGAATTAGAAACACTGCACCAACAAGAAAGCACCGAACCGAACGAGCACCAATAAACCAAACAAGAAGATCCAACTTTTTCTCTGTTCTCAATTCAGAAACACAACCCGAAAAGGATCACCCTAAGCTGCATGATTTCTTAGAAGGGGAGGTTTACATTGAGTAGCCCACTGGATACAAAGTCAAAGGGCAAGAAGATAACTGTTTAAGGCTGAAAATGCATTATATGGGTTGCAACAAGCACCTCCTGCACTAGAAGATTTGATCACGGGCTAAATGTATGATGGAAGTCATGTCCCAAAATTTGAGAAAACCCCTTGGTAAGAAGTCTCGCCTTATAATTAGCTACCGAACAATCGACGTGACGTTTAACTCGAAAAAGCCATTTACATACTATTGCAACCTTGTTTGTAGGAAGTGGAACCAATGACCACGTGCTATTATTAAGAAAAGCCTCGTACTCAGAAAATACTGCATGTTTCCATTTAGGCGACGCAAGGGCCTGACGAATTGTAACAGGTTCACTCTCACCAAGATCCTTCTATCACGTGGAATAATTTGGGTTTAAAGATACCATGCTTACTTTTGGTCATCATACTGTGAGTATTACCAATTAAAGCATCTAACTCACTACCCACAACACTAGAAGCAGACTCACCACACGCAACAGGTGGCAGCACGTTATCTTGAGAACAAGTATGAGGCACAGTAACCTCAGGATTACACGGCATAGTTGGCCCACATGAAACATCATTTGGGTAGTCAGCATAACCCATACTGGAGCCAGTTACATTGATTGCACAACCAATAGTCACGGCAGCACCGACACGCTCCACTGTTGTCCCACAATCAATTGTCTCTGATATCATATTGACTTTTCAAAGTTTCTCTTACTTATTTTCTTATTAAATAGTGAAAAAAGGTACTCAGTAAAGAGAAGACTACACGCATTTATAGGTTTAAATCAGCCCCACCTAATGCTGACTTCAGTTCACACAAACCACCTAACAGTTCAACAAATCCTTCACACAAACTGCATGAGCTCAAACCAAAGGAATGATCCTTGACACGTCATGATGCATGGTCATGCATGGATCTTCATGAAATGCTAACACGTTCTGTTCTATATGTTTTTTATGCTTCAAAAAATAAAATTATAAAGAACAAGAGAAACCAGAAATATAGAGCCGAAAGGAAGAGGTAGCTGGAGATGTCACTAACAAGCATTTATTCCTTTTTGGCCAAAAATAAATATATAAATAAAGCAATCAGAACCTAAGAGCTGTCAGCTAAACATCCACGTGGGCATGTTTAACATTAACCGGTGAGCTTTGTCAAAATGTGAGTAAGTGATTATCTATGGAGACATTGATGCCACTCAATAAATTTGTAAATAAAAGTTGATATAACATGAAATTTGAATAAGGTGAAAAGTAAGAGGATTGTGAGAGAGCATATATTCAAATCAATCTATAATAGAGGCGGAATCTATGGCCAAAAGACATACACCCATTTCTTTTGGGTACACTACTATTATTCCTTTTTCATGAGCGGTGCATGGTTTAAGCTAGGCAGTATATAAGGATAGGAGCGCCCTGCAACATTCATAGCACAGCCAAAACCAGAACACACAAAGCTACCATAGCCATGGCTTCCTGTCAACCAGCGAAACCTCAACCTAGCGACCAAATAGAAACAAAAGGCGAGCTTTGGAACAATTCTAAACACACTTTATCCCTGGAGGACAAAGTGGTCTGGAAAGGAGCTCCGTTTAAGGATTACCCGGAAACAATCGAGAAAAACAAAACAGGTGAGTTTACCCACCTTGCAGGCTCCGATGATGATGGTTCCTATGCTGCTCTTGCCTACAAAGTACTGGACGAGGGTATATGGTGGGTTGTTGCCTGGAAAAACATTAAAGATACAAGCAACAAGGTATATATTCCATTATTCATCTTTCTACATCCACGTAATTACACACAATCAATTAAGGTAAACTACCCTCTTTGAATTTTTAGGATCTTTTTATTTTGGTCAGCAAATTTATAAAATTTACATTATAATTAATGTTAAATTTTTAATTTACTTTCGTCGCGATCATTATTATTAAAAAAATATTAGTCGGTCAAATACTTAAAGTTTGATAAGCAAAATATAAATAAAATCGAAATTGAATGATAAAATTGGCCGTTTATCCTAGGTTAAACCACACATGAAGTGCATATAATCATCAATTGTATTTGCATACAGGTTTATACTGATATCATAGATGAACCCGTTGATTGGGATAACGTCAAAGACATGCTTGATACAGAAGGGAGCGTAGCTTATGACACCGACAAACATGAATACGAAGCTGAAATCAAAATTGATGCCAAGGGGGATTCACCAAAAATGACAGCAACCATCGAGCCTGACGTTGTGTCTAATATGGCCCAATGAGAGGCAGAAGTAGGGCGATTTTCCCCTGCTCATCAGGTTGAGGCTGTGGAAGCTTAATAATAATGTGTTTTCAAGTCATGGCCTTTAAAATCATGTCATTGTCATACATTCATGCATACATGCGTGGCTATTGTTACATATACTAAATGTGGATTCAAATAAAACGAAAGGCCCTCTTTTAGCTCATCTAATGTGGCCAGGGGATCTTTCTCCATTGATAAAAAAATTGACATCTACCACTGATAATAAAAGATGTGAGTTTGAGTATGTCTGAACGAGTAATTTTATTTAATTAATACATATTGTTAAAAATGTAAACACTTATCTCGATGTTAAATTATAAAACAAGTTTAGCCATGAAAGATTAACCAAGAAAAAATATCATACAATTTCAAAATTAATAATACATTGGTATATTTATACAATTTTAATATAAAACACATAATATTAAGAGTGAACTTTCACTCTTTAAGGGTACAAATATAACTACAGAAAGACCAAAACTATAAGGATTGTGACAGAGTATATATTCAATTCAATCAATAATAGAAGCCGAAAAAGACACATCACCCATTTCTTTGGAAAATTTCAAGACAACACTATATGCCAAAGAGGTTGATAACAAATATATTCGGTTGAGCGGGGTAAACTGTCAAATCAAGCATATATATTTGTTTATGAACAATGACTTTTATCTTATTAAATTTATATAAAACAAATATTAAATGTGTTTTTTTTAATTAATCACTGGTATCCGATCTATTTACCGATTAATTCAGATTGGATACTGCAGAGACGAGGGCGACCCTCCCAACCCAGTTTGCCCCATTCACAAACACTAAGATTTGAACCCCTGACCTTACTTAAGAGACCTAACGCCTCATCCCACTAGACCAACTGGTTGTTGGTAATATTAAATGTGCTTTACTCGTTTAAAAATTTGATTTAACTCAACTTTGAACATAATCCAACTAAATATATTGAGACACCGGGAATCCCATTAAATGTGTAATCGGTTGAGGTTATTGAAGAAGAAAGGAACAAGATAGTGAAGTTTAAGGGAACATGGTACTCAAAATACCATAAATAAAGCCAAAATTATGAAGATTGTGACAAAGCATATATTCAGTTCCATCAATAATAGAGGCCGAATCCATATACAAAAGACACGTCACTCATTTATGTTGGAAACTTCAAGTCCAACACTAAAGTTTTAAGAGGACGATAACAAATATATATTCCAATTCCGGGGGGTGTAAATTTCAGTTTACACATTGTTCAATACGATCATTACCGCTAGTTATTAATTAAAAAAAATACTGACAGAGAGTTATTTTCCTCTACAACATCGTTCTTTTGACAATGTTTTTCATAATCATCTTATAAGTAAAGTTGGACAATTATTAGATGACTATCAATTTCAACAATAATCAATTTATTATACAGTTCCCATTATCATTTACATTTATGATTTCCATAGTGAGTTAGGGCCGCTTTATTCTTATGGGTTCAACAGACTAGTGTAGATGTAAGAACAAGGATATGGGGATTGTGGAAATAATGCCGAACAATGATCATTTTAAGCATGATGGAGATGGAGGGTATTATTTGTTTTTAGTTGGAATTACAACTCTAAACATCTTTTATGTTGAAGCTCAGGTATAGACGAATTCGTGGATGGTGGGTAAATTTTGATTGTATTTGATATTTAAATGAAAATATGATGAAACTCTCGAGTATATAGGATATTGTGTTTAATACGACAATTGCTCGGCTGAACATTGGACCCTGATGGCTCAAATAGGATCTCTCGAGCTCGAATATTACTGAGCTCGGTTCAAAAAGTGTAAAATTAAGTTCATTTCGAGTTGAAAATTCAAGAGTTTAAAATAATCAAGTTTGACTCAAACCCGAAATAAAAAATTGAAGCTCAACTCGACTCGAAAGCTCACAAGGTTAAAGCTATCAAACTCGACTTGAAATAAAAAATTGAAGCTCGACTCGAGCTTGAAAAATTTTGAACATAAAATATTCTTAGACTTAACTTGATTGAAGCTTAAACTGAATTTTATATATATAAAAATCTTATATTATATATATTTTTAAAAATAACATATAAATATTAATATTATTAATAACTTATTTTAAAATTTCTAAAAATTTAATATATTATTCTTTTGAGTTTTGAGTTAATGTTTTTCAAGTTGGGTATAAAGTAACTCGTTCTGGCATGTAAAGAATTTGATTTGAGCTCGAGTTGAGTCCATTTAATTCAAAAATTGATCGGGTTTTGACCAAATTAATTTCAAACAACTCGTGATTTGTCTCGTCTCATTAATAACCCTAATCTCAACTCAACGGAGGCTGGCAGTTGTCATTAGTTTGAGGAATTTTTTTTTTCTTGAGAAAATTGTGATCCTAACAATTCGGTAATGGTCGTATTATAAATTTATGCTCTCATCGTATTCAAAATAAGAACCTTAAGAAAAGACAATGCGTAGGAAAGAATAAAATAAGGTAAAAAAGAAAAAGGTTGACATTGATGTACACTACTATGATTCCATTCACTTACCTTGTAATGAACACTGCATGGTTTAAACTAGTATATAAGGAGGGGTGTGCATTCAATGCACAACACAACCAAAACCTAAAACACACAAAGCTACCATAACCATGGCTTCCTGTCAACTAATGCCACCTCAATCTAGCTCTCCAAAAGTTCAATCTAGCGACCAAATCCAAACACAGGCCGAGATCTGCACCAAAATCACATGCACTTTAACCCTTGAAGGCAAGAAGATTTGGAAAGGAGATCAGTCTGATCTACAATGCAAAAACAATCGCGAGAGGCGACAAGGGTAAGTTCACGCACCTCGGGTCCGGTGGCGGTTCATACGGTGCTGTTGTATACAAAATACAGAATGAAAGCAAGAAGTTGGTGGTTGCCTGGAAAAACCTTAAAGATAGGAATAACTCGGTAATGATCATGTACCCCAGTATTCTTCTTTAATTTAACGTACACATGCAATGAATTAAAACCATGCATCTGCATGCAGGTTTATACTGAGATCACGGACCAACCTGTTAAGTGGAGTGATGTGAAAGACAAGCTTGATACAGAAGGGTGTGCTTTTTATCAGACTGATGATAAGCTTGGATACATAGGAGAACTGGAGAAGTTAAAATTGAAGCTGTCGGTAATTCACCCAATATGACAGCAAGCATCGAGCCTGGCTCAGTGAGTAATTTGGCTAAATGAGAGGCTGCTCATCAGACTGAGGCTGTCATGTGATGCCTTGGTGCATCACATTACTAGAAATAATGGTACAATAAATTTGACAGCCAGTAGATATGTAAAAGTGTGTCTTCAAGTTATCGCATTCACTTCCGTGCATGGATGCATGCCCGCCTAATGTTAAAAAATGCTAGTTGTGGGTTAAAATAAAACGAAAGGTCTCTTTTAGCCTATATATAATCTTCCTATGGGCTCTTTTTTTCATTGTGAGTCTGAGTATGCTTGAATATATAATTTCATCTAATTAACCTTATTTTAATAAAATGTTATTGCTGAACAAAATAAATAAGTTCATCTAATTAACACATATCGTTTTAAAAAATAAACCCGTGATTAAAGATCAAACCATGAAAAGGAGAGTTTAACCCATGAAAGACATACAGATGAAACCATGAAGTCTTTACGTACGCAAACCACATCATCTAACGTGCTCTAAATATGCTGTCCTATTCCAACGACTCCATGGCCTTCGATAGCACAGTCACGACATTAAAGGGTTCTCTATCCCTACTAAGATTGAACGACCAAAGTTTTGAAAATTTTAAAAACTAAATGCCACAAGACGAATCACGGTAAATAATTTCTACGTACTATAACTCTCAAAGCATTTGACATTAAACGTTCACGATGAAACCTTAAAGAATAATAACAATTTCTTTACCATCGAAATCGCTTGATTCGTACCCTTAAGTAATAATTAGAATATGAAAAAAACAAAATAAATTAAAAATATCACTCTATAATAAATCTCTATAATACTCAATTTAAATAACATTTAGTTATAAGTCATCTTTAGGAACTCAAGTCATTCAAAATCAATTGTCCATTTTAGATAGATTAGAGTTCAAATCATTATAGACAGAGGTGAAGTTGTGCTTTATCCTCCAAATTTTAATTAAAAATATATGGGATAAATATCTATTTAAATCTTTAAAATTTAATTTTATCACTTATTTTTCTATTGTTAATTAAGGTTCGTTTTTTTTAGAAAATATATTTTTATTTTCTTAAAAAATAAAAAATATGAAGAAAAAAGCATGTTTAGTTATAAAATTAAAAAATGATTTTTAAAAGTGAAAACAAAAATAAGGAAAATATAAAAACATAAAAAAATATGTTTTTAGTATTTTCATTAAAATTGTTTTAGAAATTTAGAAAATGAAGAAAAACATGTGTTACATGTGTTTAAATCCTTTTAATAATAATTTTCTGAGTTAGTGGTATTTGAAACCCTCAAACTTTTGTAAGAAAATCAGTGTGGTCTCTAAACTTTTTGTACACACAATGTGGTCCTTAAATTGAAATTTATTAATAATTTAATTTTATAGTATTTTTACATTTAATGTATTGACTGCCTTAATAGTTTTTATATTTTATATTGAAATAATTTCTTATTTTTTATAAAAAATTAAACAAGCCCTCAAACTTTCTAAAAAAATCAAACAAGCCCTCAAACTTAGTCAAAAAATCAGTTAAACCCATCTACCACTTCATTGTATAGCGTGTACTACCACAATGATATCGTGAACTTTCACATTAAAATAGTGAATTGTCACAACAACATTGTAGATTTTCATGTAACTTTCGTTAACTGTCATGTAAGCGTCATGACAGTCAATGTTTGATTCTATTGGTCAAAGGGTTATATTGACTTTTTTCTCAGTTTAAGAGTCACATTGAGTGCAAAAGAAGTTCACAATTACATTAATTTTTTTTTCAAAAGTTTGAGGACCTCAAATATCACTAAACATAATTTGTTATTCTAATGAAAATTTTATGAGCAATTGTTTACAACAATATTTTTTTTTGTATTTTTCAAACTTAATTGATGTCCAATATGTATTGGCATTATATTATTTAGGGATTCAAATAATGGTCCACTATCAGAATA